AAAATCTTTGAAAGACAATGACCTTCAAAACAATACCCAAGGTACTCTCAAGAGACAATATTCTGATTGTTGCAAAACCACTCCTGTAAAGCTGATGGAAGATAATTTAGAATTGTGCCATTTAAGATACAGCCGCTCTCTAATCATTCCCTTCAGCTTAAACTCCACAGGAAGAGTTCACTGGCAAGTCTGCCTCACTGCATCCTTACTGCTGGCGGGCTTTACATGCACATGTCACAAAAAGACTGTAGAGACTTTTGTTCATCATTTTGCTGTCAAAGTTAGCAGAGGTTTGTGATGAAGTGAAGGGAGACGACCCATCCTAATTGATCAGCATCGAACTCCGATTTATTGATTCAATCAGTCACTTTTTATAACAGCGTTAATTAAGCTCATACATATTGCAAAATCTGAGCTCATCATAGGTCACAGATTACACACCAACCCCTCCTTTTGTTTTCAATAACTGTGGTTTGTTATTGAAACCAAGATTTGTGTTCTCACCCTGATATGAAAGATTCTCAAGGCCTTCATGTTTGTCACTTTTGCTTTCCCATACCTTATCCAAGGAGAAGATATTTACTTGTTATTAAAAACAACCTGAGAACTTCTGCTGTTTACATAAATGTGCCTGAGAATCTTGTTGTTTACAGAAACAGGCTTTGAGAATTTGCTCCTCACAGCTGCCTTTTACTTTTCCATCAGCTGTATATTTTCATGGCCTTTTTTCCTTCAAGCCATGTCTGAGCAAAATTCTCCAACAGGTTTGGTAATTGTACAAACTTATCTGACAAGAAATTCACCCACCACAGTTCACAAATCATTGTTAGAGGAGGCTCTTGCTTCAGGACCATCAAACAGGTCAGTACTCCCCTCCTGCTGTACTGCACCTACCAGTTGTTAACAAAAGAGTTGCAGGATTCTGTCAAAATTCTATCAAGGCAACTGTCACCTAAGGGCACAACATCTGTGAATTCCACCAAATGCTGTCAAAAATGTCCTGTAGGAAAAGGCACTCCTCAAATACTCTTACAGAGATTTAATCTTAGGTACAGATGTCAAATAAACTCCGTAATACTGCCTTGTACTGGTATACCCAGTGTCTCCATGGAACTTTCCTGAGAAAAAATTAATTTCCTGCATGATACACATCACCATTGCTCGATTCTGTTGTCTGCCTGCTTCTTCAGCTAGAGAAAGCTGTCCTGTCTCAATCTAAATATTTACTCATGGCATCACAAGGACTGAATAAGTTTGTCAGATACAGCATGTTCATCAATTGCATTTCTAAATTTAAAAATTAGTAGACTGGAAGTAGAGATAATATCAACTTACACCTAGCACAATAATTTAGGCCACTTGGAATAAAATTCTACTTCCTTAAATTTTCTTATCTCACTTTGCTGACAATACTGCTTCTGCTATAAAAAGTGTAATCCTGTACACTTTTTTTTTACACAAAGGAATGTAACTGCCCATTTTATCTCTATTTTGGTATCTATAGATACCAAAATATATATGGTTAGGATTTGAAAGTTACATGAAGTAAGGCTTTGCAACACTTCAATAAAAACAAGTGTAAGAATGCCTGAGACCACAAAGCAAGGGGAGCCCACCTGCTTGGATAGAGAAATAACACATGCCAACACTGTTATTTTGCACTGTCTGTTCCCTGGGAGACCTTGGGTTTTTACCCCAGGTGACAACAGTCCTCAGAGATGGAGGTCCAGGCTCAGCCTTTGCATTTAAGCACGACAAGAAGAGGTTCTTGCTGTCAATTTGTGTAACTGGATTGTCAGAGAATATCACAAAACCCCAGTCTGGATGATAATTTCTGAGGCAAATCAGTTCTCCTTCCTGAATCAGGTATTTTGTTTCCAAGGATCAATTTCCCATATCCTTGCAGCTTTCCTAATACTGAATAATTAAAGACACATTCAAAGAGCTCCATCCAAGTTCCCTTAAAGGAACAACACTGAGTCATTAGTGCCACTGGCAAACACACACAACACATAAATGAAATGGTTTAGGGTATGAGAGCAGCATAAAAAGCACATCAAGAGTCAAAAGTAAACATCACTTTTCTTTAATTAAACTCAGTTTAAAACAAATGTGTAGACCTCATATATGTAGACATAGAATGCCTGCCGAGAAATTCAAACCTGCACAGGAAAGCCTCCAAACACATTCTAGCCAAGCAACAAGAAACTGTGACCCTAAGAATGCACTGGAGACGTTTTTTCTGTTGGTTTCTTTTAATAACAACTATAGAAAAAACACTTGGTGTGCAGTTTGCTGTGGAAATATTGCAGTCATGTACATGTCAGCCTTCCAAAAAATCCCATCTCAGTCAGGAACACAATTGCAGAATAAAGTAATCAGGCCCTCCCCTCTGCATGTATGGCAGGCTGGGTATTCACCTGTGCTGCAGTTTCTCCCAAATTCCTTTTCAGTCTCTCTTTGGAAGTGAAACCCTTTTCAGTTGCCCTCTGGCCGATTATTTTCCTGAATTTTCTTGTCTGACACTTCTTTCAGGCCTTGTATATGCTGCAATTTGAGCTATTTTCCTCTTTCTTGTCCAAGTTAATCTTAGTCACTGCAAAATTTGTGGTATTAAAAAATGGAGAATCAAAACCATGCAGAAAAACTTTATCTCATATCCAGTAAGGTATTGGTCAAATCTACAGAAAAGGTTGTGCTGAGTTCTGCACCAGACTGACTTTTTTAATATCATATCAGTGATATTCTACTCTGCAGAGTATGAACAGGGACTTGTGGTTCAGGGGGTTTTGTGCATTTAGAACTTTCAGAAATGTGCCCCTTAGCAGATTAGATATCAAGGTACATCTTTGTACATCAGCAGAGGTGTCCAGGTGAATAACTAGGCAGCAGATGATAAATTTGTCCTCTGGGATTGATGTTTTGATTTTGTGGCTTAAATACTTTATTATCTACCTGATAAGTTATTTTTATATTTATACTACCTTTTTGGTCTAAAGTAAAAAGACTAATTTCTATGCCTGTGTTCAAAGCCATTATCTCCAAAGCATTTACTCAGATGATACATTTCACTTTAAATTTGATTCCAGCTTCAACTGGACTGTTTTCTAATTACATTTCTGGTGTAGGTTTCATCCTTATATCCATGTGAGCTGAGTTATTCACAGTTAGAATTTTATTGCATCTAAATTACAAGTTTGGAATGTTGCTTCATATGTAATTAATTTGAGTAATTGTCATGGGTCTGCTAAACAGCCCATGTTCATTGAGATGAGGCTTTATAAATCAGACAGGCAGTGGGTCCACCAGGAGAGTTGGTGCAGTAGAGAAAGAGTGCAATAGCTAGTGCTGTTTTCATGTGTAATTAGAAAATGCATCATTCTCCAATTAAGGAAATTAATTAAAATCAAGCAGATGGTAATCAAGGCATATTGCAATATAATTTTCCCTAGTACATGCATTACTCTCAGGTGCTATCAATGTACACTATTGGTTTTACACTGTAAATTTAGCTCCAAGGTACATTATCCTGATTATCTATTTCTTGAGATAATCTTCTCACTTAGTTTTCAATGTTTTCATTGAACATTGTACAATTAATCCTGTGCTACACATAAAAGGCAGTGGCTACAAAACTTTTATTATGGGATATTGTTCTTGTCCACAATAGTCCGGGGTCAAATACAAACTTAGATTAGCAAATATTTTGTCCATATACAAATTAATCTCATTGTTATATGTGATGTGTTGTGACAACATTGATAATGTAATATAATGAGAATAGTTGTCATATTGACCATGGAAAACAGAACATGTTGCTCACTTTACAAACATTTAACATTCCCTAAATGTTTAATTGAGAGAATGTTAAAATTTGCTGAGCCTGCAGGCTCTGGGGGTGTGTGAAGCACCCCCTGGCAGCACCACTGAGAAAGCTCTGGGGGAGTGGCAGGCTTTGGGAAGGTCAGTTCCTGGAGGAGCCCTGTGCTTGGTGTCCCACTGGGCATTGCTGAGTTAGGGATGGCAGAGTTAGGGATAGTTGGTGCAGAGGGTACAGGTTTAACTTCTTCCCTGGGATGCATTTCTGCAGATCAGGCTGCACTCGTTGGACACAGGAGGTGCAGCTCTGGACAGCAGTTCCAGCACTGCTGAGGGCCGGCTCTGCATCCTCACTGGGGGTTTGCCCCTCAATTTGGGCACCCTCCCCAAGGAGAGGTGGGAGGGCTGGCCTGGCAAACTGGGGCAGAGCCTGCAGAGAACCTCCAGCCAGAAGCCCCAGTGTGGATCAAGGGGTTTTGATTAAAAACTGCAGCTGTTTGCTGGGCACAGCATCAACTCCAGCGGCCTGGGCTCTCCAGGCAGGGCTGGCTGCAGGCAAGGAGTGCCTGGGCACGGGGCAGGAAGGGCTGCTGCCCCCAGAGCACGGCTGGGAGTGCTGGTGTGTGCTGAGTGCTCAATTCAGGGACGTTTGTGCATGCACAGGAACTGCCAGGTGTGCCTTGGATGGGCCAAAGCAGCAATCTGGGAGCAGGACCCCTTCAGGATTAGCACAATGGCATGGGTTATCCCTGTCCCTCTAAGCCCTGGGGATAAAGGCAGCACAACTGGTGGTGTCTGACTCTGAAGTGCATTTTTGTGACTTTCCATCTTGTTAAAGGATGATTTTTCATTTTGTTAAATAATACTTGCACTGTTAAATCAGTGCAAGTATTCATTTTCTTTATATCCCCACACAGCTAAATGAAAGAGAAATCTCCAAGTCTCATTTCTTTGTTATTTGCTTTTTAGTAAAGCAGTGAAATTTTCCTTTTAAGATAAAATACACAGAAATGGACAGCAAGAGCAGCTTGTGGCCTGGTGATTTGTTCACCTGTAGACAAAGTGCTGCCTGCCCTCATATGGCTTTGTAACTTCCCCAGAAAGAGCCTAAATGGTACACAGCAAACCAGCAAGGAATGGGACAGTTTGCCCATCAAAGAAACCTGTTGTATCCAGGTTAATACAATTTTTAAAAATTTTATTTAAAAAAAGGATTCAAAACTACTTTTTGCATCCCCTCTCCCCACTCCCCCATCAGAATTTTTCTCATTTATGCAGCTCTTTTGGGGTGGAGGGTGATCAGTTCTTCAGCATTAAGTATATACAGTTACATGCTTCAATAGGTACTTCAAAAAGCAAAAGGGGAGGAGTGCAAAATCCTGTTGAGGTCATAGGCATATGATGTGTATTTATTCTTTCTGGCTGCTTCCTTTTCCTCATTTAGTTGTCTCCTGGGATTTGGTCTCATTTCCCAAACCTGAGCAAGTTCAAACAGTCAAGTGCAGTCTCTGTAGCATTCAGCTGGGCTTCCTGTGTCAAGCTGTCCATTTTATAGCTCTTTGATTAATAAAGATGCTCTGGAAAAGAGGCCTTGAGAGTCCCATAGGAGTTTGGAATTCATTCCCAACTCTGAACGAACTTCAGACACATCTCTGTACTTGGAAGTATTTCAGGAGGATCACTTTCCCAGTGCTTACTGTGGAGTATCAGTGTAAAACCAAATCAAATGAAGAAATGACAAAAAGCTGACATAGAAACATTCTTTTATAGGAGCAGTAGGTAGAGTTCCAAAAAAAAAAAAAAAAAGACCTAAAAGGCAGATTTCTATAATATATTCCTATTGTTTAACAGAAGTTTGGGGGTTACCCAAATACCATTATTAACAAGACTGGATGGAAGAGGAACCCTTTCCTCTTTTTCCCTTCTAGCTTTTCAACAGCATCCCAACACCTGCATGCAATAAGTGAAAATTGTACTCCAAGGAACACTATTAAAACCTCAGTTATGTGCCCCAAAGCAATTGACAGGAGAGACAAGGGTAAAGAACAGCAGAGGTTTTATTGTGTTGGATCTTGTTCTTAGGGAAGCTGACTGTGATCTCAGTGCCAGTCCGTAAAGAGAGCTCCCCACACCTTGGATCACTTGCCACACAGAGTTATGGAATATTCTTGAACAGGTTACAGAAGATTTGGGTAAAACCAGGTCATAATTTAACCATGTTCTGATTCCTAAGACTGTTACTGGGTATTTACTGCTTTTACATGTCTCTTTCATTTTCTTTATAACTCCATATAGCTAAAGGAAAGAGAAATCCTGACCTTTTGTTTCTTTGCTATTTGCTTTTTAGTAAGGCAGTGAAAAGTTCCTTTTGAAATAAAAGTAGAGGGCATTTCTCAAGTGTGAACTCCTCACCAAGAGGTCAAGCTGCTTTGTAGCCAGAGATGGAACAATGTCATCACCTTACCCCAGACATGGCTTTTCTACTCTGAGGGATGCAAAACCCCACTGTGACCTCTGCAATCTCCATTTTCTAATTATCATCACTCTGCTAGTCCCAGGACCAGGCCATCAGTGATGTGAGCAGTAGCTGCTCTATTTCATTAATAGATTAATTTCATCTCTCTACAAGATGCTTTCTACATGAGGGTGACAAACTATTTGTCTTTCAAGGCCCCATTGAGCATCTAAGAGCAAACAATGCACAGATCCAAAAGAAGTGATTATTCTCTTTTTGATTGTCATTTTTGGGTGGAAATAAATAGCAGCTTCTCAGGAAAAATGGGAAATAGTTGACATTCAGAATGATCAATACCCACGTGCATTTTATACTGTACTTGAGAACACCTTAAAAGTACTGCAAAGGTGTAGAATCTCACAGTATGCTTCTGGTTTCTTTCTGTATCAATTGTGAGTTAGATGACTTCTATTTTTCTTTCTGTATCAATTGTGTGTTTGATTACTTTCATTTCTTCATAAAAAAAATGAAGAGCATGGTGTTTGTTAACTGGAGACAACAAAATTACCCTCCATAGCCAGAGAGATCTTACCATTAAAAAAGAATAGGATGCAGTGTGGGTGTTCAAGTACATACATTAACTATCAGAATGAAGCAGCATATTTAAAAAAAAAACAATTGTAACTGACATTTAATTTAGAAGTATTTTCTTATCCAACAAAGCCTTGTAAATGTGCTAAATTGAAGAGGTGGTTTTCTTCTCAGTCTTGTGGCTCCTAATATAATTTGGGGGGGAAAAAAGAAGCCAGATACAGTTCTAGAGAGGAAAGGGCCTTGTTTCACAGAAAGCTCCTCCTGTTCTGAGGGCTTGAGCACATTCTTGCTCCATCCATCTCCAGAAGGAATAAGTGGTGTACAGCCCCTGTGCCACTCCATGTGCTCCAGAAAGGCTGAAGTCATTTGGAGCAGAACACAGAAAGGACAACCTTACCTGTGCTGTCTTAGCTCTTTAAAAGAGGCTAATTGGCATTACATGTAATTAATTTGTTAAAAGTTGTATTGTTTTTTACACTAGAAAGAAGTCCTGCTATTGTAAGTCTGCTTATCCTTAAGTGGAGCAGTTTTGATGGGAAGCATAAGGCACCTCACCTGTCATTTCCAGAGACACCAGACAGACTATCTGAATTTAAAACCCCACAAAGTGGGAAATACTTAAGCTGATAAACTCTGTAAGTTGCTCTTAATGTGCTTTTTTTAGGAGTTTGAGCCCTTCCTTCAGCTGGCTGGAGAAGAGCTGCTTTTTCTCTTAAATCACACTATTGAACAGTTTAAATACTGCTGATGTCTTCTTTCATATTCCTCCAAAACATGATAGCATTTATAACACAGCAATTCCAGAAGAATATTTCATTATTCTTATACTGAGATATGATTATTGGGTTGAAGGTCTTACAGCACAAAACATTGATAAATGTATGAAAACAAGGGAGTCACAAAAACCAAAAAAGTTTGGATTTCTCAAGCTGCAGAGGTATCTATATTTTGTACTAGAAGTCTCCTTTTAGTTTTTACATTTCAACTCTTCAGAGTTACAGGGAGCAGACTATTAACCCTACAGAATGGGGGAAACTGGGTTTGAGGGTTTTCTTTAATTGGTATGTTCATAGCACAGAACTATGGCAGCAGCAGCATCTTTCAAAATGAAGACATGAACATGAATGATAAAACAGCCCAGGGTAATTAATCCTTGCAAGAAGAGACCTCCTTGTCTATGCACAGAATGAAAGCAAACACAAGTGAAATATCCAGAAACCCCAAAATCAAATGAGGACTGTAATGTGTGCAAGGAAAAAGGATGATCAAAGTGGGAACTAAGGCTTAAGACCTAAGAACTCTGAAGTTTTTATTGATGTGACAACATCTCTGTTTGAAGAAAAATAAAGTTAATGAAATTTACATGATGATAAACTTCCAAGTTCCACAGATTTTTCATAAGCAAAAAAAACATTCATGAATCAGTGAACCACAGCAAGAGTAAGGCTCTGCCAGTTTTGCAGACTGATTTACACTTGAAGGAGGAGGAAGGGAGGGAGGGCACTTTGATTCAAGTCATAGAGGCTAGGATGAACTCAGCTGCCAAATTCTGTGTTCTGCTCACTTTGTGAGCTTAGGCATTTTCATTTGGATGGGCATTTAGAGAGATTGTGGTAGAGCTTTACATTAAGCCAAAACATCAAAAGTTGGGCAATAAATGAAGACAGAAAATAGAAATTCAAAATAATGCTGATTTTGTTACAAAATCAAGGGCAGACTGAACTAATCCAAGAAGTATTTTCAATTGTTTGAAAACCTGAAGATGAAACAGCATCCCAAATTCAAGGCATAATTTTGAGCTTTATAATGTTACCTGGAAAAAATTATGTCCATCAGATGAGGTTAGGATGTATGTCTGCAATTCCCAGACTCTCAAGTTAGATCTGAGGCTAAACTGGAGCTTCAGCAGTGGTGGAGGCAGCAACAGCTGAAGGAACAGGCTGTGGCTCTTCTGGTGGATTGTGAAGTTTTGTTTCTGAAACACTAAATTCCATCATGGGGTCTTTCATCTCCACCACAGGTGCAAAAAACACCAGTAATGCTAATTCCAGCAATCCAGATCCTATTTCATATGCAGAAATTAACCCAAAGGCAAGGAATAGAAATGCATACATCATCCCATTCAATTATTCAGCAGTTTTGCAGACACACCGGAAAAAAACTAGCTTCCAATATAAAAATTGTCTATGAAAGAGTCTAACTTGAATTTGTCTCCATGGATCATAATTCCACATGTGCCTCTGGATCTGTAGAAGAGGAGAGAAAAATGAGCACTCAGTTTGAGCTGCCTCAGTTGGCAGGTTGGTTTGAGAATCAATAAAGCCTCCCAAGACTTTGTTCTTTGCAAGGTACCAGTGCCTGAAGAACAATTCTCACCCACAGTGTGTAGCAGAACTTCTCTAAGGGTTAAGAAAAGGCCAAGCTCATAAAACTGCAAGAACTGCGAGGGTCTTTTACAGAACTGGAACAAATCTGTTCTCTGGCTTTCGGAATTAGGTTAAATTACACCAGACTTGCTCAGCAAGGTCCTTCCATCCCATGATGATTTCATTCAGTCCTTGCATGGTACAAGGGAGGGAGGACACAGCACAAGACCAAAAGGCACAGAGAAAGTCACAGAAGTACAGAAAGAAAAATTACCATGTGTGTGTTGTCCTGGCATCTCAGCTGGTGTTCCCATTTCCTTCTCCTTCTGGAAATTACTCTGGAGCAGTTTGATTTCTTGATCATAGTCCTGCCACTCTGGAACTATCCTCATGGCTGCCTGCAGCTTGGGCTCTTTGGTCATTGGGTTGTTACACTGCAAACAGAACAGACAGGCTACAAAAAGGTTTCTGCACTCAACAGAGGTGTGTTCCCCTCTGCAGGGATCTTCAGCCAGAGAACAGTGCAAAGTCTCTTTCCAAATTCATAACAATGCCACTGCTCCAGGTAAGAGAAACACAGAAGCTAATGGCAAAAACTCAAGTGCTGAAAATGTGCTGAGGAAGGAAAGTGCCTCTGCAACTGGTTGCTGTATTTTAATGTGTTGTGAGAGTGAGGGAATCATTCTGCACTCACCAGATCAATGGTTTTTGCTCTCTTCTTTGAGGAATCATCACACCATGTTTCACACCACAGCCACTCCTGGGGCAGGGACTTGATTGGTACTTGGTGGATCATGTTGTTTGGCAAATCCTGTTGTGCAGAGTAAGAGTTAGTAGCTGTTTGCACAGGGTGCAGGATGGGAGGAGCAACCCCCCTCCCAAACCAACAGGATTGTGAAGGTTAACTTCTGTAAGAGTTTTCTTTTTCCCCAATGCAAATATGAAGTGATGAATCCACACCTCATCCCATTCCAAAGACTCTGGGAAAATCCCAGGTCCCATCCTGACACCATAGCCCAGTAAAACAAAACAGACACAATAAAGCACACCTGATCAAGGTTGGACAGACTGTTTGGATCCTGACTCAGACCCTGATACTGTCCTCTGAGTCGATCTCCAGCTGCTATCTTCCTGAACTTCTTCAGATCCACAACATACAGAGCACTATGTGGAAATGATGCAATTAGTAATGACTGCAATTAGTAATTTCACTGGGGGGTAACACTGCAGCCCTACTAAGCCCCTGAGACACAATACCCTAAAACAGTCTCAGGGTGGCAGCACATCTATGATTTACTACAAGGCAGGAAAGCAGCTCTAACCAAGTCATGGCATGTACAAAAAAGAATTTCCAACAAATCTGTCTTAGCTTTGCTGTCATGCAGTCCCTGTTCCAACATTTGTTATTAACAAAGGAAGATGTCTGTTAACTAACACTTCAGTTCTTCATCTCTAAAAGTTGTAGCAGACTGAAAATAACTTCAGAGTCTCTAGTGCTTCATTGGCCACAGAACCTTAAAGAGGCAGCAGGAAGCAACAAGTGGTTTTCAGGCAGTGCTGCATACCTCAGCTAGTTTTCTGCTAAATCCAAGTAGCAACCTCTCTATTTTAGGAAAAAAAGAAGAATTCTTCATACCTGATGTGGTATTTTCTTCCAGCTAAATGACTTGCCCAGTATCCTGATTTCCAGAACCTGTATCCATCCATCTCCCTTCGGCTGTCACAGAAGGGGGTGTATCCATAAGGAGCACCATCCAAATTAAAATCCCTCAATTCCTTCAGGTCTGTGCGCACAATCTGAGGGGAAAGAACATTTTATTTGCATTTCTAGGAGCCTGCCCTTCTAGGGTTGTTTGCAAATGCTGTATAGGATTTAATTCAAACTGAGCAAACAGATAAAGGAAGAATTACCTGATATATATGTGGCAGTTTTTTGCATTATATATATGTAGTACAAAAATACAGCACAAAAAGTGTTGTCTCCCCTGCCCTAAGAGCTGAAGCAAATAAAATAGAGCTTCAAATAACCTGATGGGGGTTGGTTTGGAGAGATGAAATGCAAAATTTTTTTAATAAGCAGCAAGAATTCTCACTATGCATGAACTGGGATTCTTGGTATCCCTTCCTCTTCAGTGTTTGCAGATCCTTCAGGGATGAAAGCTTTTTAATGGCTTTTTGACACAGATGTGGCACTAGCACTACTTTAAAAATATCACTCTAATGGGAATAAAATGCCTTAGTATCTCTCACAAGCAGAGAAACAAACTGTCCAAAATGACAACTGGGGAGCTGGAAACCTCTGCTAACTGATCCTTCAGCTTCAGTTTGACCTGGCATGGCTTCCCACTGAACATGTGCCAAACCCCCCAGGCAGTTCACACTCACTTGTTGATAATCTGATAATACTTCTCACTTCACATGTACTTCTGAGAGTAGTTTTGGCAGTTCTCACTGTGCACATTTCCTGCTCTTCCCACCCAGGAGCTGAGGAGGGGCACACACAAAGCCTCCCATGGCCTTGTGCACAAGGAATTTGCCTTCTCTGCCTCTGGCCAAGGTAAAAGCAGGGCCTGGGAGGGCAGAGTGGTTGGTGACTTAGGAAAATACTGTCTGTGGTAAGTGATCTGCAGGCTGGGAGAACAGCCTGAACTGCAAAACTGGAAGGGTGAAATGAGAATCTCTTTGGCAAGCTGGCTGGAATCACAGTGAGTGAATGAGGAACCAGATAACAGTAAAAGACAGGCCAACAAAACCAATCTTGTGCAAACAGGCACAAAACCCAGCCCTCAGTGAAGCATGCCATAATTACAGAATCAACCTCCAGTCATGCCTGTGAAGGGCTCAAACTTGCAGCCCTTCCAACAATATGGAAATTATATTCTAGAACTTATTCATTAAAAAAAAAACAGGAAAAAAAGAAAAGATCAAATAACTGCAGCCTCAGTGTTACCTGATCAGCATCCACAAAGAGGATTTTATCAACAGCTAATGGGAAGAGCACATCTAGAAAGAGGATCTTGTAACCCCAGATGATTCGCTGCTTCTCTGTCTGTTGGTGCAGCCAGCGTGGCCATTTATACTGCACAAGCTCATACTGGAAATTGTACTTCTTGGCCATGTATGGGATGAACTCCTGCAGAGGGAGGGGAAAAAAGCAGCTTATCTCAGTTCTTTGTTCCTCTGCAGGAAAAAGAAAAGCACATTACAAGAGACAGACTTCAGTCGAAGGCACAGAACATCAGCAAATGAAATACCACAAAGAAAATTAATTTCATTTTTAATTCACACAAAACACTGAGGCCAAGCTGGACAATCAATACAAATTGTAAAGGCAACTAACTATTTCAGCATTTTTGTCCATTATGAGCCTTTTCATAGTGATCCACAGAGGAGAATGCATTACTCAAATCATAAAAATTCACAGATGGGACAATTCTTTAGGGGTGTACACAGCAGTGTAAGTGGGAGCACGTAAAATGTGAGAAGAGCATTGGGTATTGAGCCTTTTTTTATTTGAAAAACTTGGCCCACTGTCACATGAGCTGACATTCCCATCTGTGTGTGAGGCTTTCTCCAGCTTTGGGTGAGTTCAGGTTTAGCCAAGTGATGCTGGCAAAGGGAGGGGGAAGCAGCTTGTGGCACCTTTCCCCCACCACCAAATAAATTTCTAATTAGTAACAAACCTTGAATGTAGGGGATAAGTAGTTCTTCAGAAACCAAAACTTTAAGGGAGTCTTGGTGTGTTTCAGCACAGACAACATCATTATGCTATCAAAAGAAAAAAAAATAAAGCAGTTACAGGAACAAGTGGCATCCATGAAAAGTGAGCTGTGTCATAGATCACAAATTGCTGGGCTACATGATTAAATTATTTGCAGTTATGTGTCAGGTAACTGAACTTTATAAATAAAGAAAAAGTGGGTAGCTTCAGCCTATTGTAAATTGCTTAATTTTATTGACAAAATTACTAAATCCCCGACATCTCTATATTTTAACTAGGCACAGAATATACAACCTGTTGGCTTTTACAGTCCTTTGAGAAAAACAGAAGCTCAGATTCTTTCCAAAGCAACTTTTTCTGTAACTTCTTAACAATACATTATATTATATTATATTATATATTGTAGTGAGAAAATATATATATTATTATATATAATATAATGTAATGTAATGTAATGTAATATAATATAATATAATATAATATAATATAATATAATATAATATAATATAATATAATATAATATATATATTTCTATATAATATATATATAAAATATATATATTATTATATATGTTATATTGTAGTGAGAAAACTTAGGACAGCAACACACCATATATTAAACTAAGTCCATTTTTAACTCATGAATGCTATGCAGACACAAGTTCCCATGACATGGTAAATGCAGATTCTAGTGGACTTCTGAAGCATTGAAATAGTGGAGTTTTTTATACTCTTGCAGATTGTAACCTTTTTCCTGGTGCAAGGCCACCACCCTTTGGCACATTGGGGTTATAAATTCTCAACTAACCGTAGGAATCTCTCATACAGGTGTCCTGAAGCCACAGAGAATATATTTAGTACATCATCTTTATCCTGTTTCACATCTTCATTCTTCTGTCCTCCTGTGAATCCCCTGAAAGGAAAAACATGGTTCTGTGAAGGGCAAGCTAGGAAGGGCCAGCTCTATAGGAAAGGCTGCAAATACAAATGTTTTCAGGCTCCCAAGTAGCAGGGGGGGTAAAGGAAGGTAAAAGCAGATGCAAAGCAGGAATCCAGAGTTCTAGAAACAGAAGAGTCCAATGAATGATAGCCCTGAACTCAAGCAGACTTAACAGACAGCTGTGGAATTTCACAGACACCACAGTATTGCCAAATAGTTTTCCAGTTTCAAGAAACTTGTAAGTTATCATTGAATTAGTTTTACCATTTCAGAGATTCCCAAAATCCAGATTCATTCTCATTGGTGCCATCACTTAGCAGATCTTCATTCATCATATCAAACTTTTTCTGCACCTGTGAAGCAAGACATGGCTTTAGTGAGTTGGAAGCACATATTGAGTAGATATTGTCAGGAGTGTTATCCTGACACTGGTTCTGTTTTTACCTGCTTGAATTACACCCCATGAGCTGACAGGTAACCTAAGCTCTCTGGGAAAACAGCTCAGTAATGAGTGACTTTTTCCAAACAGATTTCAAAGGAGCTTTTAGACACCAAAGGCATGTTAGTCTGGATGGTTAAAATGCTTTTTTAAGAGATATTTAATGAAATGGATGCCAGTGATCTTTCTGGCTAAGAAAAACCTTCAAAGAAACCAACAACCTCTACCCCTCAAAAAACCAACACACCAACTCCACCAGTCTCTAACTGGTATAATTGGCACTGAGACTCCAAAGCAAATACACAGACAAGACAGTGAATGGGTAGAACATCCCAAAAATAGTCCAGCACATGTAAATGTTGCCAGGTGTGAATTGGGTCTGTTATAGCCATCACTTATCTACCAGTCATTCTCCTTGAACTTCTCAGCTATGGCATTACCTGACAGGCAACCCTAAGAGACAGCAGATTAGTAATTTACCATTTTTTTCTTCTTTTTTCAAATGTATTCTCACCTAGCCTGTGTCAGAGTGACACAAAAAAAATTAATACAATTTATCTGTGACAGATAAAATGCTGGCTCAGTGGACATACTGAATGCTTATTACTAGACATATACTACATATGTAATATATAATGTACATGTGCACATTACTAGACAAAGGGCATACAAAACTGCTTTATCCTGAAGTTATAAGCAGTCAGGAAAATGTGAGTATTATGGTAGCTCAAGGACATACACAAGGAACAGGACTTTGTCATTCTCTCCTGTATTAAAAACCCAAATCAAGGCTACAGATGATGCTCTCTACCCCTGATACTGTGAGGTAAGCTTAGTGCAGACTGCCTCAAGTGTGTGCTCATAGGAAAGGAGCTTCAGGCCTTAATCCAAGTTTCTCCCCACTGATCAAACAGACTTCTTTAAGGGCACCTCTGGTTTATAAACTCACCTTCACTTTAATAATTTTGCTCTTGAAGTTATTGAGAACAACAATAACTTCATTAGCTTCAGGTGGAGAGTCCGTGCCATCGTGGCTGAAAATAGAGCGAGATACTGATTTTTACTACAAAGCAAAAATATGTTCTTTATTTCTTCTGGCCATTTTTATACATGTATTGAGTCTCAGCACTGCAAAACAGGTTTCAGACATGCCAAAGAAACAAATTCATTTATTTGAACACAGTTAATGGGGTTTTTAATTAATTCATTTCACCTTGCATAACCTATGTTTAGTATGACATGTAATTTGCTGTTTAATTTGCTGTTCAGGTCACCACACCTTGGCTAGAGAACCATTAGATTCACATATTACAATGCCTATCTACTTGAGAAGCTTTACAAGAAAAAGACTGAAGTATTTCTTATCCTGGCCTACCTGTAGATCCTGTAAATATCTTCAGATCTGCCTTTTCTCAGTCTTAGAGTCCATGCACCAGGATTGGCTTTTAACTGGAAGTAGCCCTGTAAAGTGAAAAGAATATTTGGCACTTTCCAGAAAATGCAAATGCAGAAATATTAGCTTTGAAGTTATGGGGTTTGACTCACTGTTTTAGATATAAAATGTTATTTGCAAGCCAGGCTGTTATTAAATCCAGAGAACAAGAGAAAAGTCCCAGAAATCAGTCTATTCAAAATTGTTGGGTTTTCCCTATGAGATAGAAGCTTGAAAAAGTCTTGCGTTATTTGTTAGCTCAAAGTCTTCACTGTCCTGATGGGAGCAGTGCGAGCCCAAAGTCTTTTCCTGCAAAAGGTTCCCTTCATGAAGGAGTGAGGGAATTTCAAAACACTAATTTGTGATTATACAAGAAAATCTAAAGGAATTCTGAAGCTCTACAGAGTGGTAATGCTAGAGCAGAAGCAGTAACATAATTTACATGTTACAAGATATCTCTTCTAGAGAACTTTAAAATTCAAATATTGTGTTCAAGTCTTTTTAAGCTTCAGATTCAGATCTTAAGATTCAGATTCCGATCTGAGTATTTTCCTCAGGGATTTAGATTATTAGACCTATAGAAGACACATGCAACTGTAGAGATGCTCCCATTCACTTTTGCACTGTGGCTTCAAATGCTTGCAGTACCTATGTGAGCCAAGCTGCTTTAATAAGAAAATTTAAAAATATTTTTGAAAATTTTGATGTAGGTAATTAGAAAAAGGACACTTCTGAGTTTTAGTCCCCAACATGAACACACCAAATGTAAAATCACATGTAAAATAAGGCTGATCACATGTAAAGTAATTCACATCTTCCTTTCTACAGTAAGAAATACTACATCACTGTAGGATATACTCTGGCTAACTAAAGGCACAAATTGAAAATGAGTAAGAAGTCTAAAATAAATATTTAGTACCAGGAAACAAGGAATGTTTTTCCTTGTTTTTTATTTTAATTCATTTAAATAAATGTAATAACTTTAAAAAACTTAAAGATTAAAAAAATACAAGGAAAAAAACCAACAGAAGAGGTAATGTACTTCAGTTTTTCACTAACATTACATATCAAGAAAACACTCCAGTGGCAAAATTCCTGTGCCATAATTTCAGTCTATTACCTTTCCCCTGCTCCAGTGTGGACACTGAGAACAGACACATCCCTTATGCAGTGACATTACAAAAGCAGCTGCAGGGAATAATCATACACTTGGATTTCCAGCATCTTTCCTCACCTAAAATAAGCAAATCCCATTCTTTCACACTTCCTTTATTTTTTACAATGCCAACTATCCTTGCTGACTCTCTCCATTTACGGAACAGATCTCCTGAAGAAATGGGACCCAAAAAGTCAGACTGAGGCTCACAGCACCAGAGTGATGGCCCAGGGAGGACCCTGTCCCAGGAAAACAACTGAGCTCCCCTGGAAAGGGGCTGCTTGAGAATATTGGCAGCATTTAGAGACATTCCAGAATATCTCAGAAGGGAAAGGAGCTCATGTTGAAAGCAGTGAGAGGTGTGAAGCTTCAGACATCGTGTGAGGAATGAAGGGTTCTGGTGCATCTGCATCAGCTGTGGAGTGCAAGTTACAGCCCAAACCCAGAGGCCATGCTAGGAAACGCCCAGGGGTGGGAGGCAGGGCTGTGCTGGCTGTGCCATTCCAGGAGAACACTCACCAGGTTGGCCATGACAATGGTGTCCACGATGACAGGGCTGCTGGAGGTGCCCAGGGTGAACTGCAGTCCCCGAGGTGGCTGCCCAGTTGTAATGTCATAGCAGTGGCCCTCCAGCAGCAGGTACTCCAGCTCATACTCTGCAGCTACAACACTCTCCACCTGAAAGGAGCAGACACTGCTGACTGCAGCCAGAGCTCTAAAGTGCCAGCTTTTATCCTCTAGAACAGCTGTAGTCATTTAAAAAAAAACAAATTTCACCAGAGTAATTTTATTGTTAGACAAATACCTAGAAAACCTCAGAGCTCAGCTCCTTCAAGTGATAATCCTCACACAAATATTGTTAAGAGTGGCCCAGATCAAAAGTATTTGAATCTCAACATATGCTAGGATAGGAAAAAGGAAGGATTGTTGCTCTATTCCACAATTAATTTTTTTAACATTTACTGGAGAATGGAGTTGGTATCTCATAAAAAGTATATGATGGGATCCAGAATTTTGACTGTAAAGCTGTTTAAAGCTGGTCTCACCTAGTATCAGCCATCTGAAATAAACATTTTGTTTTGCTCTGCATTACTCTTATAGTGTACTAGGTACTGTGAGGACACACCCATTCCTTTTTTTTCTACACTGAACAAAAGTGCCAAGGAAAGAGAAAAGAAAAACTAACCAAAAAAAAAGAAACCCACAACCCCAAAAGACTTGGGTCAGTCCCTACCACGCCAAATTATGATGTAGCCTGAGGACAGTACATAAGCAGAATGTTAGTCTAATCCCACAAAGCATCTCCTCTCACTGCACATCCAAAATGACACATTAATTGCTACAGCACCAACAGACTGCACACTGGGAACTGGAAATGGTGCACCTGCAAAAGTAAAGCTGCTGTTTATTTGGAAGCTCAGGAATGCCCTTGAAATGCCTGAAGCATTTAATCCCCCTCTCTCTCAGGTTTTCAATTAATCAGTGGGGCAGGCATGGAAATCAGAGGCTTGAAATGTAGTATTAATGCTTCATTTATGGCTTTACAGCTAGGTTAAGAGATGAAAACCAAGAAACTCCTAAATCAAAACATACTAACCCAAAACCAAAACCATAAAACAGACACCCAATTTCCTAGATTTGTGAATTACTAGTACAGGAATAGCAATAACAGATATACCACAAAACCACATCATATTCCCAAACAATATCAGAGAGATGCAGAAGCAAGAGGGGGCGAATAATAGGGACTAATAATGCAGTGATCAGTGAGAAAGGGACCCACATCTGTGATGCCCACAAGGCTGCAAACATTGTCACTTTTCCAGAGGCCTCTTTGTAAAGGCTTTAACAATCTTGGCACACACACATGTGTAATACCTTTACAATAAGGTAAATAAATAAGGGATTTTCCCTTTTTCTCCCTCTGAATGTTGGGCAGCACTGCCCAGACCCACAGTCCAACACTCTGAGTCAAGGTGTGCTCAAGCAGCAGCAAGCTCCTGAACCTACAGCAGCTGAGTGCATGGTTTTACTGCTGCATTGATACTGCACATCCTTCTGTGGACCACAGCAGTGTTTGCCAGCTAACAAGAACTGTGAAATTAGTGAAAACCAGCTTGGTGGCTTCTAGGAGCAAGGGAAAGGACCTGCTCCAAGCCCACAGTGTCAGGCATCCACAAGTAATTGAGGACAGCAATCCTGCTGGTGGGGAGCTTATGCTTCCCCTCCTAGAAATCATTTAGAGGTCTGTAAATGCAGTAATATCCATAGCTCTAAGTTTATTGGCATTTTAAAATTCTGCATTTCTTTCCCATTAAATAAAAACAAGCCCTGGAAAAGCAGCACCATTTAAATGCAGTAGGAACATGATGATTTCTCTTACCTCCTCTAAGAAGATATTGTCAAGGTCATAGGGGGTTCTAACAGACTCCACCATCCAACTCTCAGGAGTGTTTAAATTCAGAGTGAACAGTGGAGATTGGGGCATATCCAAAAACTTGGCAATTGGTCCTGGAGCAAAGTTATTCTCTGCTGTGAAAGAAATCTCTGGCTCCAAAACATAGCGGTAAAAGCTGAAATTTCAGAGAGAAAATGTTAGAAAACTCATCTGCCAAAATTTGCTAATATTTCACTCTCATTGTATTTGCAGATGCCATCAGCTTTCCCTGACCTCTGATATCTCCAAGCCTTTGTCCAAAGCAATGCAGGTTGTGTTAACCTTAGGACAGGTCAGAATTTCTATCTTGAAGGACCAAAACAAACTGTGCAAGACTTAACTAGTAAGTTATTTGATTTTATATAAATACAAAAAAAAAAAAAAAAATTTAAAAGCACCCAACTTGTAAAATAGCAGAATTACTTCATGCCATCCACAAATTCCCAGATTCTCTGTGGGAAATGATGCTATTATATAAATGAGATCAAAGCAGTTATTGAGATTTCCCATGGGACAGCTGACCATGCTTCTGTGCTTGCACATTCCAACAGGTTTCTCTCTCTCTGCCCGCCCTGTATGATGGAACTGCTTACCTTTTCAGTGGCATGTCAGAAAGCTTAGACTGGCAGTTCATAAACACTCTCAGGTTCATATTTATCAGTTGGTTCAAAACCTAAAGTAATGAGAAAGAGAGATCCCTTAAAATGCTAATGAGGAGAGCTCATTTTATAAGCAGACCACTGTTTTTTGACAGACCACTGTTTTATAGACAGGACCTCAGGGTGGATGTTATCTGCTCATTCCCAATCCTCCCTCCTTGTAGTTTGCTTCACCACCTCTTCCCCCCTTTTTAATTGGTGGTTTTAAGCACAGTTACCTGCTCCTCATATTTCAGATATTCTTTTTGGAATGCTGAGAACCTTCCTCAAGAACAGAGTTACTGCAAACTAAGCTGTTAAAACACTGAAACTAAAAGCTTTCTGGACAATAGCTGAGTATGATTTTATTAGTGTGTAGTGCAGCTTAATTAGTATTTCCACTGATAAATGCATTGTGAAATTCAGACACCATTCAGACCATTCTACTTCAGACACCATTCAGACCATTCTAATTCAGACCATTAGAAAGCCACTGATCACCACACAGTCAAAGAGGAAACAAACATTCCAAAATGATGGAATTTGAAGTTCTCACAACCCTGCCTACGTACCAAAAGTAATGGAGCAAGTCTTTGAGCATCTCTGGTCACAGGATCAACAATAGCCACAACATCAAAGTATGTCTCCCCCTCTTTTGGTCTCAGTTTAACTGCACTAAACAGAAGAAAATACAATTTTAAAGTATCAAATAAAGTATCAAATTTAAAGTATCAAACTTGAAATGCATTAAAACCCACTGCTATCCATCTCATTCTGAACTGAAATTACTTCCTAAATGCTGCGCGCCTTCAGAAGCTTAATAGAGAAAAAAATAGACATATACATGTATGTTTATTTAGATAGGTGAAGAGATAAAATGAATTTCTGGAATCTTTCTGAAAACTGTTGGGGACTCTCCTCCTGCTACTTAGATTTTTTTTTAATTAAATGCAACATAGAACAATGGGGAAGTTAAAAGACACAGAAAAGCCTCGTGCAGCAATTCTATACCTGTATCGTTCTTCAAAAAACTGATATTCAATCCTTGCCTCTCCTTTTGGCTGAGCAGAAAGAAGAGCATCCACTTTCATTACCAAGTCACTTGCCCTGAAAAGAAGGAAAAGAAAAAGGCTTGCAGACATCAAGAAAAAAGGCTGTAGTTATCACATTTCTGTCAGGCAGCAGCAAAAGAGAAGGCAAACAGAATCCAGATACCAAACACTCCTACTACCTCCCTACACAGGGTCTGAAGAATGAAACATATTTAAGGGTTAATCCACCAGTAATTTAAACTGGTTGCAGCCTTATTACTGAGTATACCAAAGGATTTAAGTCTAACAAATACAGAACAGCTGTATTTTAGGGGTCACCCACATTACAGAAACTGCATTCCTGATCTTCACCAACCACTCAGACCTGAAAGCCATTCAGATCAAACCCTTGTTCCACAGCTCTTCCCATTTTACACTGCAACTCTGAGCACTAGGAAGCAATTCTCTAAGTGGAAGGGTCCTATCATAAAAGATAATTACTTTCAAGCACTTTTTCTTTTTCAATATTTCCATAATTTTTCAGTCTAGTATTTTAAGAATATATTCAATCTTTAAGGTGTAAAACCTCTTGAAAGTTCAATGAAAATAGATTTGTACATCACACTTTTGCCAAGAAGCAAAACTGCAACCTACAGGTCTGTCAGCTTTTCTTGAATTAACTGAGATTTCTAGTGACAGCTGTTTACTTACAGATCTTCTTCAAATCCCAGCTGCTGAATCTGAGATTTGATTTTCTGTCCCGATGTCTTTAGGATTATATTTTCAAGGAGATGAAAATCATCCTGGTTGAACATCTCTCCATCCTCTAATGGGCCAATAATCTACCAAAAAATAGCAGAATCAGCATTATTAGGTGCCCTGGTTTGAAAAGGAAGTGAGTTTTTTGGGAGTTTGGTGGTCAAAGTAAAGGCTACACTGAAACAAAATTCAAAGATGTGTTAAATAAATACTCCAGTCCAGTCTCAGTAGAAACCAACCATTTAGGCTGGTATTAATGTCAGTGGCAGCAGAGTTTAACAGGTAAATTCAGGTATTTAGAGCCAAGAGCCCCAGACTAAGGCATAAAATACACACTTAAACTTTTCACTGGGTCAGGCATTAAAATTATACATGAAGTACCACATCTGGAAGGGGCAGCAGAAAGCCAGGCCAATTCTAATAGTCCAGCAAATCTCCCTCCTGTTGCCTTCAGAAACCTAAAAGCTACCTAGGTCTTGTTATTCTGCTAATGAGAAAAATAGAAAGAACAACTCAACACCTGAGATTTTTAATCCATTGAAATACCCAGCAACCACTGGGACCTGAATGGGTTTGTTCCTAACTAGAAAAAGGTGACAAAAGAAAACTCGACGCTGTACACAGCTGTGTTTCATTACTTGCAGTGAAATACTATGGTAACATCATTTACCTCATTTCAGATCAACTATAATAAAAACAGATGGTAGAAGAGGCATTCTTCTGATGCCCTTGGTCAGGGCATTTTCAGTACACTGAAGCAGCATAATCTTGCAAATTTATCATCCCCTTCTACCCCTGGACTCAATTCACTACAGCATGAAGGAACTTTGTTATTGAGAGACCTGAATTTGTACCAAATGCCAACAACTGCACACATTGAACAGAAAAGGTCACATAGGTGTGAATAAATCAAACTGGAAGTGATCCTAAAGATTGCTGAGACCTAAACCAGGCTGGCACTCCTGTGTCTGATCCCCACCCAGACTCTGCTGCCCAAATGTGTTTCTGTCTCACACATGGAAAGTCTCTTTCATTCTCTGTTATCATCTCACCCGTCCGTTGCTGATCACAGCCCTCTGCCCCTTCTTCAGCTTCAGAACATCTCTGCAGTAAACAGCATGGGACAGAATAAAATCCACCTTGGGAGATTCAAAGGCTTCTTTGAAAATATTGGTATCCATACCCTAAAAGAAAAGAATACTTGGCATTGGAATAGGAAGAGAACTAGACCTCTGCACACTTTTTAAAAGCAACCTTTTTGTTGTCATTCAAGAACATCTTTGTATCTTGCTAAAACTGATGCCTGGTTCCCTTTTCTTTGTGGCCTTAAACCTAATTCTTGTTTGTCACCATCAAACACTATCCCAACTTCTGCTGTGAAGCTACTTAGACCCGTTCCAATCTTCCTGCCTAACTTTTTAAAATCTACTTTGAGACATGCACTTCTATTTTTTCCCATCTTTTAAAAGAACATTATTCTCTCAACCACCCAAGAAACAGCGGACTCACTTAAATAGATCCCTGCATCCATGTTCCTTTTGCCTTTTTCAAGATACATAGCTCTGATGAGTATTAGGATTTACTTAATGTTTAGATGGATTGTTCTATTTAGGTAAGCCCTTCAGAGATTTAAAAAAAAAAAAGCAAACTAGCAAACCCAACAGGGTTACTTTTCTCTGTTACTGCACCTTTTGCATATGAATATACTGTACTAAAAAATGAATTTGAGGAACAAGCAAAGCACCCTCGCCATGAAAACACCAGCAGACATGCCTACCCCAACAGCAAATTCCAAGATGTCAGCTCCTGCCTCCAGTGCCTTCACAGTTTCTTCTTTTGCCATCTTGGTGATGAAGTTCTTGGCATTATTTGAGGTTTGTGTCTGCAAAGCTGCCCATATGGCTTTGGCTACAATGGTATTCTGGCTGTTGGGTTCTTCACTGGGATTATTAATCATGCTGATTCGAATGTTGTTGCTGGATTTCTGTGTTTAACAAAACAGGTGATGGGAAAGTTTAACATTTCAGATGAAATAAATATATAATAAACACTACAGCAAAAGCTTTGTTCTTCTTAACCAGAATATCAGATTCCAAATTGGGTAAATAGCAGCACAAGGTTAAATAATGAATTAACTAATTTAACATCAAGCATTTAGCTTATGTATAGGCACCACTGTGACAGCAATCTTCCAGATAACCCTGTGCTACATGAGAAATCCAGGACCATGGCCACCACTCAGTCTGGCAAACCACACTGTAAGCTGTGCTTTTTTTTGTTCAGTTATCCTCCAGAACCAATGGGACAGAGCAGAGAGCAATGCTTTTGTTTATCTCCAAACCAAAACACAGATATTTCAGTTTAACACCACAGGTTTAAAAGAACATTTATTGTATTCTGTCCCAGCTTAAGATCAGCAATGTTCCAGTCCCTACAAGAGATGAGGCTGGAAATTAGAGACCCTGCAGGGAGAACCAGTCTCTCCAGGTGACACCACAGGAAGATTGTGTAAAACACAACTTGTGGTTTACAAGCCTCTACCAAGGGCTTTGTTAGCACTGCTAACCAATGAACACATCACCTACCTGATGTTTAATGGCATCATACAACAACTGCCTCCCTGAAGGTTTATCAAAATCACCAACAATCCAAAAAGTAACTGGTCTAACAAAGGAATCATCTGCAATTATTAAAAAAAAAAAAGAAAGAAATTTGAGAGTGAAAGGAAGGAACGCTTCATTTTTTCCTCATTTGGAGGTAAACTGCAAAGACATACATGCAAAGACTTCAAAAAAGTAAAATTCCATAGAATTTTACTATGGGTGAACCTAAGCTATGAAGCCTGGTAAGACAAAATTAAAAGCATTGGTGTATTAGTCTTTATTAGGTCATTCAGAAAACCCATGTGGGACAGCATGCATTGCTCTAAGCTAGAATCTTTTAGTATTTTTGTTTGTTTGCTACTTTTTCAATTACAAATCATAAAGAAACACATAAACAACTTGGAGATTCCAACTGGGGTTGGAATCCAGCAGACATATCACTTCTTTGTATTGAAGCTGTTAATTTACAAAATCAGTTTTGTATAAAGACAAAAGTGCTGGAGCAAACATGCATTCCAACAGCTTCCTTCACTGCCTGCTGGTTCTAAAGCCAGTGTCATTAAGGAACCAGAAAATTCCAAGAACAATATAAAAAATGCCAAAGCATGAGTTACCATAGATCTCCTTGGAAGACATTCCTGGTCAAAGAGCAGAAAGGAAAGGGGAAAAGGAGAGACACATTAATAACTTGATGGTAATCCCAATGTGTATCTAGAAACTGCAGCACTGTACTGGGCATAACTGAATCACTACAGTTCAGATCCAACAGCAACAAGTTGTGCTAATTTTATTCCAATAAGCTTTGACTTTTTCTTCCCCTCAAACAGATGGATGCTTGATTTTCATGCTAGCTTTAATTAATATTACCAGTTTCATACCACAGGGTGAGGACATCATTCTGAAAACTGTTTACAAACACTGCTGTGCCACTGTGCTGTTATCTTCTCTCTTTAAAAAGCAGCATGGCAGTGCTGTATCAGTGCTGGTGCTGAGGCAGCAGCACACAGAACTTCTCTATTACTTCAGAAAATAAATGTGGTACAGCATTACTGTAACCAGATAGCAGCTATTAAATATCCTAAGTGGCAGAAGAGGCAGTGACCAAAAAATGTCAAGCCATGGAACTGCAAATTAATGCACTTTCCAACAAGATGCCAAGGTGTGGATTTAATTAAATCCACTTGTTCAAATCCAAGTGACTGAGCATGAATGAAGAGCAGGCATGAGGCAGGAAGAGTAATGGGAACATTTCAGGCAGTGCACATGGATGGCAGTGACTGGAGACAGGACCATGGAAATTTGGGACAGTCTAGTAAAGACAGGAACAGGAACAGGAGGATTTGGACCAAATGACAGCAGCTTATTTCTGGAATCTAACCAAAATGGACAAAGGAAACACCTGATGGTGTCTGCTTAGACCTGGTTAGGCTCTGTATTGTATCTATACATGCATTTCCTACACTTGAGAGGTACAGGCAAGTTTGAACACTTCTATGTGCAACTGTAACAACACTGCCATGGAAAAGCAGTGCCTGCACTGGAGCAATAAAAACAGCTCTGACCATGTTAGGTGATGTCTTATATAATGGGCAGTTGGGATTTTCTTATGGATCCATGCAACTTCTAGCAATTTTGAATTGTGAGATAGAGAACTAAAACCTCTTTTATATTTTTCTAGTCACTTGCTTACACTGCTGCATTTCTGGGGGACATTTGCAGAACAGCAAGAACAGTTTGGCTGAGACTTTATTATTCAGTAAGAGGCTGGACTGGGTTTAAAGAGGGAAACATTCTTGTTCCATGTAGATGTCATGTCTTATTAAAAAAAGAAATCTTTAACAGACTATGCTGTCACCCACAGGCCTGGCAAGGCTCAGTGAGTGTGTGAAGATCTGCACATGTGCTTGGAAACAAACATAAAAGCAGACTTGGATTCAGAATCCACCACAGATTTACCTTTCTTTGTTAAGTAGGTCATGCTGTTTGCAACAGCAGCTGTCTTATCTTTAGACTCCAGTGTGGTAAATCGAGCAAAGTCGTCCACAAAATGGTTATCTGAGGAAGAGAGCAAGCATTAAATGCCAAAGAAACTATTCCATGTAAACTGAAAATAAAATCACTATATTACCAGAACATGTCCCATTTTGCTCCTTGTGATACTGCTTGTGTCTCATTTTCACTGCTAATATATAGGCTGAGAAATGAATTTTGCTGTCTCACAAATCACATTAATAACTACATTGCACATTTGATAGGGAGAAGACAGTTGAAAGAATTTCCCAAGTCTCACTTAGTTGACATGAGTGTATGTAAATAATATAGATTGAAAAATTCACTCTGTCACTATTTTTCAAACAACTCAAAAAAGGCAGGAGTAATGTCATTGTACTGCAGTCACTGTATTGGTTGTTCATTTAGCAAGGGAACATTTTGCTAAATCTGAATTAATTCCAGATATGACTGTCAAGCCTGTTCAAAAGAAGGTCAGAACTAAGAAACAAACAGCTGCTTTATGCATTATATAATTTCTCAGCTTCATGAGTCATATTCCCCTTAAGGTCTGTATAAAAACAAAACAAATTCCCATCTTGAAAACCAGTAGACATTTAATGTTGTACACAAACATCTGTCTGTACCCGGGCTGGGTCGTCACTTCAGGTGCTGTTAATGCTTTGCCACCTGAGCTTTCCACTGGAACAGCAAGTCTTTCACTCAGACATTTCAGGTTTAGCACAATTAAAAGCATCCCTTACTCATTCCTGTCAGATCTAGGTACTCTCTGTCAGACCTTAGGATTCTTGAGTTAATTCTTGGAACAACATTAGGCTGGTTCATGATATACTCAACCACATCTTGGTCATTAGATAGTTCACCCTGAAGGAAAGAGGAAAGAAGCATTATTTCTTATTTGACATATAAAATTGCCTTACATAACTTAAAAAAAAAAAAAAGGCAGAAAGCAATTCTGAAAGCTAAGCTGTCTTGTATAATACACAGCCAGGGACTTGTGGATCAGCTTTTCCAAATCTGGTTTCTCTCAAGCCTCAGAGGAGCTCAGCACCCACCAGGTACACGGCTCGCTGGAAGATGCTCGTGGTTTCCAGGATTTTGTGCATTGTCACAGTTTCCAGGTCATCAGGATCCAGCTGATCTTTTTGGAAAGGCATCCCATTGAACAGGACAACAGGGAGGGGGCCCACACCAGTTTGCTCATAGTAAGCTCTTGCTGCCTAAAAACAGGAACAGAAACAACTTTAGCACATCAGCCACAAAGGTTCCTAACAAGTCTAAACACACCATGAGATCCTTTACCACTTCTGTTAGACACAGACAATGCATCTTTGAAACTTTCAAAGCAAAAAAAAAGTTCCTTCACAATACAGAAGTGCAAAATACTCCTTTAAGTTAGTTTTGTAAATTAATTCCAATGAGCACTTTCTGGTAGTGGCAAAAGATGAACCACAGGAAACATCACTTTACCTGTGGAAGCAAATGCAATGCAAGCAGTGGTAGCTGTAATGTAAGACAGGATAGGGAATTTTTTATTTCTTTTTAAGAATGTGTTTCTAAAACCTGTAAGAAAACAGTTACTTGTGAGACAGGGAGTTATTTTGTCAAGACAAATTTCCCTGTTTCATGTAACCACTGAAAAGTGCACCGGCATTGACAAATACCCTGTTAGAAGTTAAAGTTAGGTTAGGTTCTGCTGGTTAGAGGTTCTGGTTGAGGCCTCTCCTCTCATACAAAAATGCCTGTCTTACTTTTATGGATTTTCATTTCCTTAAAATGTTTTTCTCTTCACTATCCTGCACTGGAAGACTCATAAGCACAGGAGCCTATTTTCTGTAACCCTGACTGCATTCCTTACATTTGCAGATGTAGGCAGCATCAAGTGTGCTAAGAGCTATTTGTGATAGTATTTTCATTTCTTTTAGAACAACAAAAAATAAGAAATATCCCCCCATAAAACCTCAAATAAAATCTGCTTCATCTCACATATAACTGGTTCAATAGTGATTTGCCCTAATTTTCTCCATACAAAAAGTATTAGACCTAAAAATCACTTCAAGAATTATTTGCAGAAATTTGTTGAATGTCTTGCTATAGAAAAGGCATTTTGAATTCATTGTCATGGCTTTATCTCACTCAGTACTCAAATACTGATTCAGAAGCCCCACACTGATCTCTCCCAATGTAAAGCCTCTTGGTTTTTCCATGAACCATTCCATCACTTTGATGTTTCTGCAAACACTTTTAAACTCTACTGAAGTCTGAATTCCATAATGAAAGCATGAATTACGAGTCACAAGAAAGCTATCTTAGTTCTTTACATATAGATTTTTTAAAATATATATTCCATTATATGTACTATGTGCTGAACATAAACAGTAAAGTATAACAAGAAATCCCCCAAGGTGATAACAAAATAGTTCCCTGGTTAGTAAGAGAACTGGACCAAGAAATTGTATGTAATTATATTTTCAGAACTGTTGCAGCAAAAGAAGTGGAAAACAAAGCTCTATTTGATGAATTCTTACCTTTCTGTTTTGATCATAGGCAGAATCAATTCCCAGCACGCTGTTGATTTCCACATAAGGATACTGTTTCTCAAGAACACTGACAACATGTTCCACTTTCAGCTGGTCTCCTGTTTTCACTTTGTTATAGATCTGAAAGGGGAATACAAGTTTACAGCTGCAACTGTAAAGCCTCTGTCCTTCCCAAAGGTAAACTGACCTGTCACCTGTACTACAGTAGTTATAATAAGGCATTAACAGCCAGACTGCAAAACTTATATTCATATTTATCAGTTCCAACAGCTCCTAAGCACTTGTAGCCATTATAAGTATCTTGTTATACCTTGTAGTCATTCCACTGAGATATATATACTTCTTTAAATAATAACTTGCATCTTTAATTAGAAAAGGTAATTGAGGAGGGAATGGAGTTCTCTGGGGAAAAAAGCCTCAAATAATGAATATCCAAGGAGCTACCTTCCCTTCAGAACTTGGGATATGTTTATGAACAATACAACCTCACAGGTAAAGCAGGTAACTCTTTCCCTCTTGAAGGCACAAGATTTTACTTTGAGCTACAAATACACACCCAAAATGAAAAGAATAAAAGTAACTGACTTGAAGGAACCAGCAATTTAATGTCACAGCTTGCCAATTTGTACAACTATCAAACCACAGGTGGAATTAATTTACCAGCACCTGTATTGTCCTTTAACATGGCAAAGGTACACAGTTCAAACCAAATTATAACATTGAAGGGATGGGGCAGTTCAGAACTCAAGAGACTGAATCAGCAAAGGGACAGGATCAGAAAAACATGCAAAAGTGTCACAATGAAATCTGTGTCATAATGAAACCCAGTCTCACTTGTTAAAGTTGAGTTAAAGAAGCACATTACAAAGACATGTGTGTTCTGTGGCACCAGTATTTGGAGATATTCTGCATATTACCCCAGCCAAAGAACAATTCCTTCCATTAGCTACACATTAACACAATCTTATGTACATGGAAAATATTAAAACATTAATTTCCCTTTTTAACTAATACTTACAGACATGACAGTCTGAAAAGCATAATTATTGTCCATTTCTTGTGCCACATAATTGTATGTCCTCAGGAGGGCAACACCAGGATCCTGCAGTCCATCAACATCCTCTGAGTCATTAACCACAAAGACTAGTCCTATCCTGCAATCACACAAATCCCAGGTCATCATTTCTGTAAAGAATCAACTCTTCACACAACTGCTGGCTGTGATCAGCAGCTTAAACACAGGTTTTTTTTTCTAGAATAGCCTGGGAAGATGTTGAGCAGAGCAGCCAGGAATCAGACTTAGGACATGTAATCTGTAATGAGTCCATCAGAATCTTGCTTTTCACCTCTCTCCCATCCAAAACCTTAAATGTCTTTTGGACTGTTAAAAGCCAGAACTCTGTTTTGCTAGTAGAGGAAGTTATACTCCAAAAATATACACAAACCTTGAACACAAGGAATGCAACATTTCTGCAGTGTCCTAGCAATGAGAATTTTACAATGGCAAAAGTCACATGCATAAAAACTAATTTAAAAAACCCCAAACATTAAAACCATAGAATAATCACTTATTCTATGATTACCTCAGTGGGATGTGGTTACTGAAGAACATTTCTGCCACATTCAGTAACTCTGCTGTGGTCTCATGGGTAGGATCCACTATCAGCACCTGTATACAAACAGCAAGTGAAAAGTTTTCATGCCTTGGAGAGCCAAGATATTATCTTCTGTCCCAACCCAGACAGAACTGGGCCATTCAGACTGCATGTAGAGCCCTTCATTCATGCAACTGTTGTCTTAGAATTTTAAAACTTCTATGCTAAAAGTATTAAACTCCAGAGAAAAAGGTAACACATCCAAGCTCCCACAGCTTCAGATGGCTCAAGTCCCTGTTTATCCCTAAGCAGAGTTCTTGTTTTGCACAGAGACACTTTGCCACATGACAAGAGTTACAGTGCACAATTTCCAAACTCTTAATCAGATTTAAGTAATTTACCTACAGACTAAAAGGACAGCAGGACTAAGCTGAGGGCTGTGATCATTTGTTCAAGGCTTGGTGCATGAATGCTTTCTAACTGAAACAACTGAAGTTCGTCTTAACTCTGCAAAGAAGACAATATTTAAGATTTCATTAACCAACTTCAGGTATTATCACTAAGTTGAAACACACCAAATTGTTATTTATCAGATGATAATTTTGTCCATTGACAAAACAACACCTGGCATCAACAGATGCCACAGAATCATGCTCAGGAATCTCTGAATCTCAGCCATAACTTACTAATACTAGGAGAACAAAACCTTTTAGAAAAGCACCCTCTCTCTCAAGCTATTTAAGTGACAGTGTATACATGAGGCAAGCTGCAAAAGCTGATGCTCCTGCTCTTGACAAAACAAATGCACATTTCATCCAGTCAGATGATTACTTACAAAATTATGGAAGTTTTTCCTGATTTGCCTGATGACACCAGGAAATGTGGGACGCAGCAGTTCCTGCACACTGGAAGGCCAGGAATTGTATCGACTATCAACTTCCAGATTGTTGATCCACTAAGGAAAGTAAAGGCATTTAAATGATTCACAATCCTCCTGCTCTGCTCTGAGACTAACATATTTTCAAATCAGACACTACATTGAAGAAATAAAGTGCTAATCATAACCTTATTATCCTTTTTACTTCACTGCAGTTTCAGAGCTGATTGTGAGACAAGAACAAAAGCTCTCCTGACAGTTTAAGAATGCATTGCCCAACAGCAAATCAAGTATTTCTATCAAAAACCAAACTCACTGAAATGGCAGGGCTTCTGATGTCCACAGCATAGTCAGAATCTGATGGCTGGATGTTCAACTTCAGGACATTGTGTAAGGAAACTCCCTCAATTCCCAAGCTGTGCAGGCCTTCCATAACTCGGGCTTCATTGCGGAGCACATCAATCAAGCTGCAAGGAAAAGCAAAATGGGGCTGAATTTTAACCCCACAGCAAATAACTCATCTTACCCTAAGGGTTAACAGATGAAAGGTATAAACAAGTCTGTCTGTCTAGACATTAGTTCTTATTTATCACCTATTCCTTACCGTCCTAAGAAACTTGAGATGACTTAAATCTATTCAATTAATATTGTATAACTGGGAAAAGCAATGTTAAATCAGGATAATTAATCCATTATATATATATACACACACATATATGTAGTATTGAAACACATCTTGACAAAGGTACAGGGTGGTTTCCAGATGAACAATTTACACTGGTTTATCCTTTGAGAATCACTCTGCTGTCTTCAGAATAAATCTGTATGCTGACAGGCTGAGAAAACAAAATCTTGCTAGTCACAGCACAGGTGAAAAGAACAGCACAAAGGTGTTCTCATTCCAATCTTCAAGGGTATTCCACTTTTCACATTAGAATTTTTGTTGGAAATGCACTTTGAATAAGACAGGAAACCATTATTTTCTTTTTACAGTACTTAACAATTAAACCAAGTCTAGACTATGAAGAAGGTTCAAAACTGTCTAAATAACTTTATCATTCATGCACAAGCAAGATGCAAGTTTCTAAGCAGGATGCAATTATGGTGAAAATTAAAACATTCCTACCTAAATATATCCTGAGTGTCTAAATCAATAAGCAGTCCATTGATGAACAGGGCAGAATCTCCTGGTTGCAATCCTAACGTTCCCTTGAAATACTGAAAAGAAATAGAAAGCCATTAGAAGAGAGCTCTGCACAGAAAATATCATTAAAGATTTCAATGTTGGTTTTCTTCCAATAAGTCTTGTCTTGCAGTACCAGTCACAAATTTCTATTTAGAGGCACGATGAACACTGAAGGAGAAACATTGTATTTGGATATTTTACAACACTACCATCATGAACACTGTGAGCAAAGCAAACAGAGGAATAATAATAAGTACCAAGATGAAGTACCAAGTACATGAATAATAAGTACCACATGAAGTAGCAAGAGCAGGAAAGTAGCTTCTGAACAGAAAATATTTACTTTTTTTATTAAATTTGTAAGGCTCTCAAAGAAAAGCTGAGTGTTAAGTTTTATCTTTCTGTGGATAGTTACATGGTAAACTCTAATGTAACAGTAGCAGTGAACTTAACTATCAAATAATACCCACACAAAGGGAGTAGTGCAAAGAACAGCTCTGAAGGGCATGCTTGGATATAGCCTGGTCTGGATGTAGCAGCCCAGGGATCCCCTGAATAAAAATGAATCCACAAAATCAAGGGTGTATTTGTGGATCAGAGTCTGATCTAACACACAGCAGGAAAAGCTAACCAGGCAGCTTTAGCAAGGACTTACATCCTGTACTTTGTCCCTTCCAGAACCACATGGGACAAAAGTGCCAAACCCCATCCTTCACCTCTGATTTTATCACTATTGAACAACAAAGCATTTCTCTCTCAGAACAGGAACCTCAGGGGACTTGTAAGCAGCTCTGCATTTACTACTAGACTCCCCAAATAGATTTCTAAACAATATGTGGGTACTTAACATACAATGTTTTTTTTCTGATAATACCAAATGAGACTGAAATGTGCAAACAGGGCAATGCAGCTCATACAGCAAATGCTGCTGTTTGACTTTTTTCATTACTATCTTAAACTTTTGTTTTGGTCTCTATCCAGACCACACTAGCTGGCATATTTTAGTTGCACAAATTCCTGTACAAAAGCCTATACAAAATTCCCAGGTGGCTGTTGGTTTTTTCAGTGCTTTGCTAATGCCAAGGACACAGCTGAGCTGTCTGAAACACTTCTGCAAATACAGAGCCTACTCAGTGACCTCCAGAGGCCCCTCATGACCTGGGGAGTTTTATGATTCTGTTTCAAAGCACATCTAGATTTAGCTGGTAAATTTTATCTCTTCACTAAGCACCAACATTGAAACCATCTCCTCCATTTCCTCCACATGGAATGAATCAGTCTTCATAAATATATCACATTTATTCTGTGATTTCCTAGTGATCACTGATGTACACTGATATCTAAACATCATCTCAGACTAGATAATGAGAACTAATTTTCTTCTGCATTGTTAAAACTGTAGGAAGATGCTTAATATAGCTGCTTTTCAAGCAATAAATTTCTAACCAGAGTAGTATTTTCCTATTTGAGCAAAGAAGTTTAATAATGCTCCTCATCCATGTTTGAAAATCCACCACTTCATCACTTCCCAGATGCATACTACAAAGCTGTGTGTGAAAACACTGGGTCATTATCTTGAGCAACATGTAAACCAGAGTGCAAAGGCACTGTGTTACTTTTTGGACACATTACCTTCTGGTTCTCTTCAATTTCTGCTCTGAGTTCCGAAGAAACAACTGTTTTTGTTATGGCTCTGCAAAAATAAAAACATCATGCTATGAATCCTCTTTCTTTTTATCTACTGGATAGATATTTACTTATCTATTTTTTGTACCTTTCATATTAATATAATTAACCTTCTAGTATAAAGAGGTGCAGCAAGAAGGAGTTGTACTTGGTGACACCATAAATAGTAGGATGGAGCATTTTTCTTGCACTCTATAATCCAGCAGCACAAAAATGTTAACCACATGCCAACTCTCAGTGTCTAATTTCACATTAACCATAATAAAAGTGTGCAGCTGCCAAAAATGCAAAGATGGAGGCTGACAAGAGAAAATAGGGGATTTCACTGCTCATGGTGGGTTCCCATTCCTTTCCTTACTTTGGATGCAGTGATTGCATCATCAGAGTGGGTGAGTACAGCCCACAGATCAGCCTGGAAACACAGTGAGATGCAATGCCTGCCTTCAGAAGCTCTAAATAACAACTTCATGTAATGGGAAATAAGATCAGAAATCAGTTTATTTTTACACTCATCTCAGGTATATCTCCCACCTACTCAAAAAGGTTCTGTAATATCATCTTCACAATCCAGGCAATGGAATTTTTCAACAGAAATATATCTCTAGACTGGCTGGCCATGCCAGGTCATATTGAGTTTTTCAAACTAATTTGAATATGTTAAAGACAGTCACTGACAAAGTGCAAAAAACAGTGGAATAGCACATCAGCCTCTGACATGAGACTGACTGGGTTGTTTGGCAATGTGGACCCCAGAAGAAAAGTGGGACCCTGTGAACAAATAAATGTTAAGGTCATTAAACAGAAAACCCAGCCAATAAATTCTTGATGACTTCATGTAATAGGTTTAGATGCATTTCACAATAAAACAGCATGGGCAGTTCTGGCAAATTTTCTACCAGTCCACATCAGCTGCCATCCAAGAAAAACACCCTGAAATCCTCTTTGTAACAGTAGGCTGAAGAACTTCCCAGCATAAACATTCCCCAGTGTTTGCTTCCAGCTAAATGAAAGTCAGAGTTAACCCAACCAATGCTGCTTGTCTCAGGTCCTGCTCAGGAAAAAGAGAGTAATAAAATTTTCTAGGAGTCAAAATTAAAATTACCTGGCCTTTGTAGGAAAGTTCTGACTCAGATCTTTCATGACCATCAGGGCATCCACAGGAGGAGCAGTCAAAATGCGAGCAGCAGTTTGAAAACTCAGATCTTAGAAGTGAAAAAACAGAGGTTAACTCAAAACTGAAAACAAGGCAATGCAGAGACACCTTAACTTTATCTTGCAACTTTTTTACATGTCATCTAAGGAAATTCACTTTTTATCTGCACCTATAGATACTTTTAAATTCATTTTTTTTATATTCAACTTTTATGTGTTGCCTTGAAGCAAGTAACCCTCTCAGGTGGTTTAGGCAAGTCCAGACCAGCCCTGTTTTTTTGGCTGAGCTGGGAGGATCTGCCCTTCCACTGATATTGGTAGATTCCCCATGGCTACAACATACATTTACCTCTTTGAATTAATCTTTTTGAGAGAATGAAAAGTTTTTTCATAGGCTTTTATAGATGTTTTAAGGGAATGAGGCCAGAGCAGCATGTAACTGATTTTGAAATACAGTTTTCCTCTGGTCTTGAGAAATCTCATGATTTCACATCAGAAGTGTGATCATGGAAAGAAACTTTGCATTCCTTTCCCTTCTGCATTCAGCAGACCACACAAGCAGTCAGTTTAAGAGCAAGTAGCTTACTGTATTTCACAATATAGAAAACAATCCTCGTGTCAGAAGTCCCATGAAACAATGCCAAAAGCTATTTCAACAGGAAAAGGTACATTAAAAACCAAGTGCTTTCCAAGTGAGACAATGCAGGAATTTACAGTCAAACTCTGTCAGCTGTACACAGCCACTAACAACCTCAATAGTGTAGAACACCAGAAAAGATATTTCCATTGAGTTTTTTAGACCATAACTGAAAGCCTTTATCCAGCTTACCTTGGAGCTGCCACACTTTCAGAGGTGCCATTTCATTGGTACTTTCCACGAGGTGTTTTCTGAGCTCTTTCAGCTCTTCTGACAAGTCAGGATACAGCTGCCTGAAAGGATACAAGGGTCAAACAATCCCTGTGGTTTCCTGTAAGAACGTCTGCTGCTAATTTAAAGAAACTACCACATAAAAAAATATGCTGCTAGCATATACAGAAAACTCAGACATGTAAAAAATAATAATAAAGCAAAAGATCAGCATTTCTCAAAAAGTTTTTTGATATGATAAAGTCCAACTGTGTTTTACCTTAGTTTTCCAAACAGAAATCCTTGCACTTCATCAATAGGATCATTTTCATCTATGACTGTAGCATTCACATCTGTGCCTATAAACACACAGAGAACAGCACTAGCATCAAACTATTCCCAAACAGAAAAGCAGGAGAATCTGGGGTTTGTATGTGTATGTAAAGAAAAAGCACAGACACAGATTACAGCATCAAAATAGTTTTGGCAGGTGCATGGGAGTTTGTAGAACAGAGATCATTGCTCCATAAAAGCAGTAAAAGCACAGAAAACGTGCAGAATTCTGAGAATTTGGTCTTCCCCCAGTTAAAAAAAAATGAAAAAAACAAAAAAACAAAAATGAGGAACAGGGAACACAGTCTGCTCTGAAGATGGATAGGTTAAGGCAAATTAAAGTCGAGAAATTTGCTTTACACCTGCAGAGTAGCTGGTAAAAAATGAGTTGCATCAGTAGTGCCATTACTAAGATCTAGTCCATGACCACAACTCCAGGATTGCACAAATGTGGAAATGCCATGGCAAAGATCTGTTTCATAAGGAGCATGCTCCCAAAAGGGATTTCAGAGCTAAGGAAAGAAAAACATCTGCAATTCAGACATTTGTAGCAAAATGAGTATAAAATTACCTTGGTGAAATTAAAATGTTCACATTAAAATACTTGAAACAAAAATTCACCTTTCACCTGGGTATCATCCTTGGCCTTATATTCTGTACTTTTAATTGCCAGTTCTACACCATAGCCAGAGAGGTAGACCTTCTCCTTGCTGGGATTCTGTAAGGAAAAGCCAACAGCGTGATATTGCCATCTTTGTTTGATCCAAAAAAGAAAAACTACCACTTCCCAAAGCTGAGGAATCTCAGTCTGGGATTTCAGACACAATGGGTAGAGAGAAACAAACACTGTGAGTGGCTCTGCAGTAGCATACTCTAATAATTTTATTTCCTACTTCTTTTCAACACACTTCTTGAAGTTCAGCAAGCAAGAATTATCTCTATGAACCAAAAAAAATCAAAATTCACAATGCAAAGAGGAACACAAAACAATGTTTTCAGGATTCAGTGTGTGAGCAAAGCAGAGGGAGATAGAGTCCCATCATCAAATCAGATAGAGGGTGGAAAAGAACTTCAGCTTAAAGCTCAAAAATGAAATATTCACTGAAGAGCTACCACAAAGAATGACAATGAATAAAATAATGACAAAAGAGTGGTGCATAATTAGTTCTGCCTTGAATGAGAGAAACATGACCACTTTCTAAAAGTATTTTGAAGTATATAGGAGTCACATAACAGTACCAAGATCTAAAGTGCAATACACTGAATTTTGAATGTATTCCTCCCAACACTGACAAACAACTACTTCCTTTTATTAAAGGGAAGTATTGTATGCAATGCATGACTTTATTTTATTAAAAGTACAAGTAATATTAGAAATTAACCAGCTGATGCTCTTTTTTTTTTTCCCACATTCAATCCTGATTGCTACAATGCAAGTTTTGGTAGTACTGAGTAATATTCAAGCAACAAATCAAAGAACTCCAGCTCTTCATACCCTCTGAAATGTAGTTTTAAACACTAATCCAGTGGCTATGCACAATTTAGTGAAGGAAGATGGAAACCAGGATAAACTGCACTAGAAATGGTAAGTGGTTCTGTAAAAAAATTACTACAGAAACAATGTCTTGCTTTTGAACATGGTACCTAAATGTTAATCCTTGCTTTTTATATCAAGTGACTAAGTGGCCTGATTGTGAAAGATTTGACTACTTCCCATGCTCTAATATGGGTAGAGAAACACTTCTTTTTACACTGAAGTCTCTAATTATTCTGGAATTTAGGTCTGGATTTTTGAAATCAAACAATCTTACTTAAACAATCAGGAAAATTTAAAATATTCTGTATTCCTCAGCTACATGCAACAAAAAATAAAACTTTGAGTACTCCAAGTAAATTAACAATGACAGTAGGCAAATGCCAATTTAAAGGGAACAAACCTGGGTGAGTTTTCTTTTTGAAAAGCAAGGCCAGTTCCTCAATTTCAAATACCCCCGTTACAATGCACAAACATACTCACAGCAATGTAGTGTCTGAGCACATAAGTGATTTCTCCTGCCTCAGCCTTTGCAACAAGCCTCCTGTGCTGGCTGTAGAACTCCTCTGAGCCAATCTCTGCATAAAGGATGACCACAGGGCTTTCAGGGTTTGCTGCTGGGTACTTGTGGTCCCCCTTGAACAAAAATGGCTTTGGCCTAAGAGGGAACAGTGAAGAGCCACAGTGTGAGTCACAGCATTTCCTCACTCAATGCAAAATGAACTTTTTTCTCCTATTTATTCATTTTCCTGAATACATATGTTGAGCTATTCCTACATATTATATCAAGGCTGGCAGCACTTTGTGCACATTGACAAAAGCTTTGTGAAAAATGAACACATGAAAAGAAACAAGTGACTAAGAGCTCTTTTGAATCGAATATGATCCTAATTTTGAAAATGAACAACTTCCCTTAGATTTCCAATTCACTTTCTCTCCCCACAGTGATTCATAAATTCTGTATGAAAAATTAAAAAGGCTGATAGAACAGATGTGCCAAGGGCACAAAATCATTTCAACCTGGTCCTTGGCTTAGTATTCAAACAAAAAAGTGAATGAAAAGTCTGTTTTCAGCTCCTTTGTTTACATTTTGTCCAAAGTGCAACAAATACTTAAAGTATTGCCAGTAAGTCAGAAGAATAGCATGTGAGTTATAGATGCCATATGCCTGCACATTTACAAAAAACTCTTTATTCTTAAGATAACCAAATAACCAAGATCACAAAAATCGTATTGAAAACAAAAATGTTCTCATATTACGAAAACAAACTGAAATGTAAGGATTTGGGTTGGTTTTGGTTTATTACTTGTTTGGGGTTTTTTAATAAGTATTATATTTTACATAATACTTATTAAAGTATTATATAAATTATTATAATATTATTATTATAACTTATTATAATACATTCTTTTTGTTATTAGAAGTTACAATCAAGTTTTATTCTTGTAGAGAAATCTGAATTTTAAATATATTGTGTGGTAATGGTTTTCTTTGTCAATGCTGAGAAAAGTATACAGAGAAAAAAATAGTGTGCTTGCCATTCATAAAACAATTTGTTACATTAATCTCATTTGAATATGCAGCCCAGCTCCTTCTACTTTCCCTTCACACTGAAGGTTTTACACACTTCTGAGAATTCCTACTGTCCTTCAACAGTTCCCAGCTACTTCCAGAATTTGTTTCCAAATTTTCCTGTGCACATTCCTCTTCCTAGCAGAATCATCAAAGAGCAAGGGATAAGAAAACTATCATTGCAATTTGAATTAACACCAAATAAGAGATTGACCCTCCAGTGCCAACAATGGACAGGAGAAATCAACGCTGAAGAACACAGAAATAAAAAGTTTATTACAACCTCTGCACAGCAGTCAGTCCAAAGTTAGGTTAAATTTTAAGAGCTAATCCAGTAACAGGAAATTAAACAAATACCTGTCTGAAGCTGCCTGTAAAAGGTTTCCAAGAGAGTCAAATTCACAAGTTTTCTCCCCATGCACAACAAAAAACAGGGTACAGCCCTCTGGTGGAGATTCATCTGCTGCTATCTGTATAAAACATTTATAATAGGTTAAATGTTTGCCCTTAGAACAAGTGAAAATTTTAACAGTGTAGCAGTGCAGCAAACAGTATTATTTCCTACACTCCAAACTAATACTTCTTCCTTGTTTATGACATAATTTAAATGCAAGGTGAAATTGCAAGATGGAGATTTAAACTTTCACTTATTTTTCAGTATGTTACAATTAACTGTAAGTTTAGCTGCAGGTACAGAAAGCAAGGCTTGCAATTGTAGGAGTTTTGGTTGATGGCTTCTTTTTGTCTTAGACATCACAAAAATCTGTATTTGTTAAATATCAAATGACAAAATGACTCTACATGAACAAGGAAGGTGTTTCACAGTATTACTTAAATAAAGCACATTCTAATGTGAGAAAATTTACAAATAATTAAAAATACTAAAAAATGACAGAATACAATGAACTTTTATTTATGAGTTCTAATCACTAAATATATAATATATATTATATAGATATATAGATATATAAAAATATATAGATAAATGGATTGCTCTAAATATATAATATATATTATATATTATATAGATATATAGATATATAGATATATAATAATATATAGATATATGGATTGCTCTCTTCAAGTAAGTTCAGCTGAGCAATAGGAAGAGCAGCAGCAACCCAAATACCAATGGAGCCATAGAGATGGTCCTCACAAAAATCTTTGCACCAGTTCTTAGTGCAGCAGGCAAAAGGTATGCAGGCATGTCAAAATGCCAATTCTTTAGTCTACTCTAGACAAAAATTCAGCACCTCATGAAATGTGTATACACATCACTCTGTAGCTCAGGTGTACAGAGCAGTGAATCAGTTCAGGATTTTTATATCTCAAATGTTTCCTTCCACAGCTCCCTCCTTCCTGAGCCTTGGTACAATGCTCTGCACCTCACCTGAGCTTTTTCTGTACCAACCTGTTGAAAAGCTTGAACTGCTGCAGAGTAGGAGCGTAAAGACAGAGAAAATTTCAACAAATTCTGCTGCAAAGGTGACAGAGTCTGGCAGGCCACTTTGAGCATTTCCTGGTAAGAAGAATAATCACTACCTGCAAAATCAAATTACAAGCAGTTATCTTTCTATCTCATGGTTTCATTGAAGAGGGGCTTCTCATCCCAGTGTGATTTATACCAACAGAAGCCCATGACATGAATTCTGAGTTTGCACATGACCATTCCTCCTCCAATTTCACTACAGACAATTCTACAGCTGGATGAGAGTGAACTTGAACAGAGATCCAGGAGAGTTCACTTGAATTCATTCTTGAGGATGCAAACATGGGCAGGGGAGGAGGGAAATAGTTTAGAGCTCCCATTTAATTTTGGCTGAGAAATAGTAACACAGAGAAAAGATACTTAAAATATTTCATGCTTCATGTTGAAAAAGAATCTGGCAAGCAAAATGTTTTAGACTCATCCACTACAGATTTGTCAAATGGATATCCAAAAGCCTTGAGCACATTACAGCAAGAAATATTACAGAAATAAGTATTTTATAGATGTCAAACGAGGATTAACATGATGGAAGACAGAACACTGTGGTATATTTTTCAACTATCAGTCAGCATTGAGAAAAAAACTATAAAATCTTACCATCATGCTCAGCTGTCTTAATATTCTCACTAGCTTCAACAAAGTTCCAGAACTTTTCTTGACCTTCTTCTGATAAAAATTCACTAAGTAAGATGAGAAGAGCAAGTTAGGTCTACAAATTTTCTCTCAAATTAAAAATCTGATACCTTGTGATGCTTTACAGAAAGTTAGCACCTACCACCTATATCAGCAAACTGTGTTACTAGGAAAAGCACTACAGGAAAGCTAAAAACAAACAAACCCAAACAAATAATCACTGCAGACCAGGACAGACACAGAGCACATGCAAGCAGCTTGTAAGGCACCTCCTGATCCTTTAATGCCACAAACAGGCAGCAGGGTCCATCCTGGCAGCTCCCCTCCCTAATGCATTTATTGGAATCTCTCTTTTATGAGAAACACATTGTACATGAGGCAAATTGTAAGGATGAGCTTTGGTGGGCTTTGGTGGAGATTTGGTGAACAAGCAAAAAGAGAAGTCACAGCTTCAAACCATGTTATAATTCCCATATATGAAGCAGAGAATGGGTACTTACACAAGGCTAGATAATGAAATTCATCCTCTGAACATTGCAAAGCACAAACACTGTATCACATCCACACTTGTAACATACTTGCTATGCTAAAGGATGCTACAACAGCAGGTTTGGAGGCTGCTCAGTGCCACAGTAACCTGTGTGCTCCAACCCAAGGGTAAGTGCTGCTGGAACACCTGGGTACAAACTGCAGGGCTGGGCTAAGTGCAGGGCAGCAGGAGGGATTTCACACTGCAGTGCTGCATCATGCTGCAGCTCATCCCAGGTGAACCATCCTGCCCTACCCAAAGCCTCTGGCTACAATGGACCAAGTCTTTGCCACGTTATTTTGATTATTTGCTTACTGTTTCACACTCTCTGTGTCACATTTTCACACAGTCTCAGGGTATCTAAATCCTGGCATTAAAACCTGTGCTTTGCATTTGACTGCTCAAGGAACTTTCAGGCTTCAGCTTCTCCAGAGAAGGTTACAGAAAAGTAATTTCACCTAGGACACACCTGTCCTCTGAATGAGAGCCATGCTCATGTGAGTGAAACCCAGCAATGCTCAACTATCTGTAGTAAAACAGACAAAATTCCACATTTGGCAATACCCTTAAGTGATACAAAATTAAGCACACGCTAACTTGAAATTCTAAAAGTCCTACTGACACCTCTAAACTAAAACATGACAAAATGAAACAATGAGGGATTTCAAAAGAGACAGCATTTTGCTTTCTTTTTACACAACGTCTTAGAAATAAAGTCTTGAATACCATACAAGAAATGTTCCCAGGGAGACTTGCATAATCTTTAACAAAGCAATTGACTTTAATCAATGCAAAACACACATGAGCAAAGTTAAACTCAAGTTTTACCAAGCTTATTATACACAAGCAGCAGATGTGTATCAAAAGCTACAACACTGAAGTAAAAGACATTCAGAATCTTACAAGACCATGCTGAACTCCTTTATCTAATGCTTTGAGTAAAACTTCATAAGGCAAAAAATACCAACTGTGTAATTGTGTATGGTTAATATTGTTTGTTCTAATGCAAAATGAAAGAATTTATCACACAGAAAAATTACTGTCTCCTGTAAAATCCTCCTCCCATCTCCCCATGCACAGCAGGGATCACATTCCCACGTTATTACAGTTGGTAGTGACCAGAAACCGAAGTGCCACATAACAAAGAAAACACTTTACTTTATCCTCTAAGCATATTCTGATTTGACAATGAAAAAAGTCACAAAGCACCTACCTTGTCTCAAGGAGCAAAGGAGTTGAAGACCACTTTGTAGTCAGAGATGTTGTCACAGCCTTAGAATCTGCTTGCACAAGTGAAGAGCTGAAGCAGACTCCAAGAACTGCAATAAGTATTCCCATTTTATAGGACACTGAAAATGATGAAGGAAAATGATAAGTTTTGCATTGTCTCTTCTTATAAATACAGGATCTCAAATATATTGAGAGTTATGTCAAGACTTTTAAAACTGCATTTAATGCAATACATTAATGAGATTATCATCCTCTCACCTGGGCTTACAAACTCACAAACTTGAAGAGAGGCAAGGAATTAACAAACTTACCCCTGAGATGCAATTAAACCTAAATCAATTCCAGTTTCCTCTGTGTTTATGCTTTCAAATGAGTTTCCTTCTGTCCCAGGACACCAATACCACATACTTCTTGTTTTAAGAGGTATTACAAACTACACACATTTCAGACTGGGGGGAAAACAACTCACTGTTGATTTTATGGGAATTAAAATCACACTTTGTGTCAGCACAGACCCAGCAGCTGTGGACTAATCCAGGCAAGGGTGAGAAACCCCAGTCAGTCCTTTAGGTTTTTTGGGGAATGAAGAAACAAGTATTTCCTGGCTGCACTAAGCACCACCAAATTTAAAAGCTGAAAAATGAATGAAATCACACAAACAGACTCAAATGATACAACCTACTGTGAGAAGTGACCAAAAAAACCCCAAATTATTCCATTTCTTTATTGTCCTTCATTGTGTGTATTTTCAAGCCTTTGTATTCTCTGGCCTACATCCCAAAATAAAGCCAAGGGGAATTTCCTTGCCCACAACTCTTAAGCTTATGGAAGAGCTGAATTCTTCTGTTGGCTTTCCATTACAATCTCCAAAGATTCAAGCTTTTTTGGACTATAGTATATTTATATTTACTACACCGCTACACTCCCAATATGCACTCAAGTACTCTTTCATTTCTTTATCTTTTTTTCCTGAATAACTCATTTTCCATGTCGCCCCTGCACCTGAAAAAACATCCTGCTGCCATTCTACCTATATCACACCCAACAAGCTGCCAGGATCTAACTTCTGCCTCTTTTTTATTACCATCTCAATATAAAGAATAGGGTTATAAATCTGTACCTCTAAGCTACCTGTATATATACATAAATAAATGAACCAAATCCTCCTCTCTTTAAAAGTTTACAGCCCTCCAGCCAAATGTTTCCCAACAATAACTCAGGCATTGTTCTTTCTCTGGGAATAAAACCAGAAATTCCTGCTGTGATCTCCAAAGAGCACACGACATTTGCTTTATGCCACACCTGGGAAGCAGACAGATGGCATCACAGAATGGGCACAGCCATCACTCCCTGTGTGCAGAGGGGGAAGCTAAGCCAATATTTGTGGAGTGAAACATTGGCCAAGTGCAAGCAAAAACCACAGTTCACAGCTCCTCCCCAGATGGGTCCCTCTTATTCTCTGAAAATCACACACTGGAGTTCAGAATAGGTAAATGAATATGCCCAAGAGCACTCTCACGGCTAAAGCTCCTATGCTGCTCTCTTGTGCCAGCCTTCCTGCTCTGGGAAAAACTGAATTAAAGGCCTTTTTCTGTATGAAACAGGAAAGAAACCAAATGACATTGTCACCTGACACAGTTTAGCCAACTGAAAATCTGCAGATTAGAAATATCTACAAGTCCTCAATAATAACAGCCATAAAACAAAGGAATGACTGATATCTCAAGGAAAAAATACACCATGGAAAAAGAGGCAAGAGAATGAGCAAAAGTCACTAAGGAGATCCAGCTCTGTGCTAGGTAACAAAGCAAAACCCAGTCTGAATTACAACACCACAAAGCAGTGTAAATATTTTTCCTCCTTATTGTTCTTCCAATTACTCCGTTTAAAACACTCTGGAGAGCCTGCACATCCAGCCTTGGGGAAGGAATAACGCAGCCCACATTGACAATGCCATATCCTGCGGGGTCAGTCTGGTGCCAGGCGGGTGAAGGGCAAAGGGAAGCGGGAGCGAGGGGCAATTCCTGCAGCAGGCACGGCTCTGGGGCACCGGGACCGAGCCGGTGCACGGCAGAGATTCCCCATATCAGCGGGCACCGATCGCACCGGGGGAGCACGTCCTGTAAAGGGCTCCCACTGACACCAAACCACGGCGATTTAACCGCGAACAGAAATCAGCCACTAAAGCGTTGAGCAGCCAGGGCTCAAAACATGCATTAAACCCGGCCCGTCAGGGCGTTAATGGTGCGGAGCATTAAACCCGAGCGCAGCCTCCGCCGCTCCCCGGTCCCGCTGACCGACCGACCCCCGTGG